TCTCTCTCTCTCTCTCTCTCTCTCTCTCTCTCTCTCTCTCTCTCTCTCTCTCTCTCTCACCGCAAGGCTCAACGTCCACTATAATCGTCACCAGAGTACCGCAGTTGGCTAGTTGACCAAACTACCGAACCATAAGCTTGCCGCTGCTGTCTGGATTCCAGTGTTGCAGAGTTCATAGTTGGCTGTCATCATCCTGAACGATGCCACGGAGCATTCAGAACTAACCACCTCCTCAGACCCGCCCTTGATCGATTCTTTAGCACTTGTTCCGTGTAATCGTGATCCCACGCAAATTAGAGCAATCCTGATCCTCTGCAGAATTAATGTATTTGCTCAGCAAATGACAGCACACAGTTTGCATAATCCAGATTCAGTGAAGGCAGTTGGCCTGATACTCGTACTGACAGAGAGATTGGCTGCTTTATGCTGATGCTGGAGAGATTGATGGTGTAAATCACCATCCTGGAAGACCAACAAGAAACCGATTCTCGTGAGACCTTCCGCTTAACTTCGCTCCTATGGAGCCAGACAAACCCTACTTGTAGCGAACAACTGGGAGCACCTTTGTGATCGTGACGAAATAGTTTGCATGGGCCCACCTGATTGCAGGATTAAACGTCCAAATGGATAAAAGGCGTGGAATCAACCTCCTAAGCAAAGTGTCATTCACGACCTGTGCAGAACAACAGTGTAATCCCGAGCCCGGACAATACTCGTTCTCAGCGCTCACAGATTTGGCTGATCCAAGTTCTGAACAGCTGACCCGTCTGATCCTAACCTGGGAGTGCTTGATGAAGTGGCTCTTTGGCACTTCAACGGCCACCCATTCCTGTCTCATTTACAGCGCAGTTAGATTCTAAATCCAGCACATCACTAGCCTCGAAACCAGTCAGGAAGTTTCTGACGTAACCGAACACCAACCAATCCATTAACATCTATCGCTCAATGAAGCGAGTGAACCGGACAAGTTTGAGCAGGTGCCAGTCACAACATGGCAATGATCTATGACGTCATACGGTCATAGCCATACTACTTTCCCTCGAGCTACACTGAAAGAGAGTCCGAAAAATGAAACAGGGTCATTACCCCTGGTGCTACTACCTTGTAGGCAAGGAAGGCCTCCTATTCACCCACCCCTCGCCAAAGATCTGGCAACAAAGACCTCAAACATCAGGTTAAAGAACCGGTCTGGTTCCTGATGTAATTGTCAATGCGATACAGATAAGGGCTGCAGCCAACCAGCTGCTTAACAACTTCGTGCCAGATGCAGACCTGGTGCACTTCTTGATCCATGGACCAGGAACTGGACCGCGCAGTCTAAAACCTCTGCCTTCTGAGAAACAAAGGGCCTACATGTGGACCCAGGACTGCACCAGGATCACAGCAGTGGGAGATTGCAGTCCACCAAGGATCAACGGACATACACATGGAACCATAATTGTCCCAGGACCAGGATGGTGCAGAGCTGGTCGTACCACGGGTAAGACTGAGCCTGTGCGCGGACAAAGAATAGCACCAACACATCGCCGCGCAGAAATGTGTGTTTAGCACAAATGAAACATGACCGTCCGTATTGACCACAAACATGCACCCAGAACTACACCAGGACAATCGGAGAGCAGATCTGCGCTCAGCAAGCGTCGTACCGGATCTACATACCGACTTAGGACTGCACCAGAAGCATGTCAGTGCAGATCTGGCCCCAACAAGATACCATATCGGGCCTAGACACATACCCAAGCCTGCACCAGGAAGTGGGCACAGAAGCATCCTACTGGACGTACACAACGACCCAGGACTGCACAGCCACAGTCATACTGGGCATACGCACAGACCGACTGCATCAGAATCAAGGAGGGGCAGAACACGGCCAAGCCAGGGTCAAGACTAGACCTACACAAGAAGGACCCTGCCAGTGCAGATCCGGCCTCAGCATGAGTTAGGCTGGGCCCGCGCATGGACCAAGCGTTAGACTGGACCTACACATGAAAAGATGCAAACCTGGGTCCAGCAAGAGTTAGGCTGGGCTCGCGCATGGACCCAGAACTAAGCCAGGAACTTAGCAGTGTGCAGTTCGAATCTAACAAGAGTAGCACACAAGACTGCTCGAATGTAGAAAGGGTGTGTATCAGGTGTGAACGCAGTTCTCTAATACAAAGAAGTGGGAGCGTGAAGGGACATCTCTCATGCAAAGCTCAGGAAAGCAGGGGCGGAGGCACTGCACAGCTGCAAAACTGCTGCGAAACTGGGATAGCACAAGGGGGATGATGAAAGGGATGACATAAGAAAAATTAGACACTTCCGATATCACCTGGTGAGTCTGGTCTACCTCAGGCTCAGACTGTATTTCCCCTCCTGAACAAGAGACTGACATACGTGCACGGCTTTTGATTGACTACTAAGGGTGGGGTGTACTCACAATAGGGATTTTCCGACGGATCTGTGGACATAATTGCAGCAGACAGACACATCTAGGAAAGTTGTAGTGTGAGTATTCCCTGAGAAAGACAAGGAAGTTGCAAACGAGACAGCATTCACAGTCCTATCACGCCAACAGGAATCGCACATCATAAACATTTCAGAGGACGAGTTGATGACGATAATCACACGCCAAAGGCTTTCTTCACAAAAAAAGGGGCTGCATGGATCCTGGTATGCCATGAGAAGTCCGCAAACATAGCGCACACAACCATCTTTGCTGGTTACTGTGAGTGAGTGTTGACTTTGGCTTTGTCTATCCTCATCCATCAATCACAGATCTCTTTTAAGTGCTTTCATTTGTCAAGCGTTTGACCGCATAGCAGCAAAAGAAGACCAGACCTAGCAATTTCAGTTTGGAAAGGGCAAAGAAATGGACAGAAGATCATCGACAGCAACAAGGACGGACGGGAGACTGGCAGTCAAGACCATACACAGAACAGTCGGAGATGCATGAGTCAAAGCAACAAATGAAATCACATTAATGCCATA